ATCATCGTCATTAATAATTGTTAATGTGTGCACAATAACTTTATTAATTCTATTCCAAACTTTAGCAAACTTGGTCACCTAGTTCATCTGTATGAATCTTCCCTTAGTATGGATGTATGTACGACAGATGTCTCGTGTGAAAATATCATCCAAAAGTTTAGATAATCTGATAAAATATTTCAACTGTTTCTCCTTGATTAATCACTAATTGACTGATCCCAGTGGGAATATGCATTGTTCAGCATTCAATGAAGTAAATCATTTATCTTGTAAAAATATAATTGGTGATGTATCGCCCAAATTCCATGGGAATACTAGACTGGGTTTCAATGCCAACTCATGGAGAGTTGTTGCACAGTCTGATACACATTTGAAAACCTGAATTTCATACATGCCCTGGATTTGCAGTAGCGTTTTCCATTTCTCAATGATTGGAAAATACAAGATATCCACAAAATTTGGTACGAAGTACGTTAAAAACTGTATTGCTTTATGAAAAACGTTTTATCTGTGATAGGTTTCTTTGATGTTTCAAAACCTTTCACTTAGGTAACCGGGATTCGATTGTTCTCCACACTGGACTCACAAAAAACACACAGAAGCTCAATTCGTGTCACCTTCGATTCTCTCACTGACTCGTGCTCTCCACTCGAGACAGCTTCAAATCACTTTATTAACTTGTCAACCATTAGCCAATTACAATAGAGTATAAGAGACTTTGAGGCGTTGCCTCTAAACAAACAGCCAATCACACGAAAGTTTTACACACATAATACAATTGATTAATCGTCACTATATTAGGAAAATCACTATCATAATGTCAACGTCAGTTTATATTTATGGGCGCTAATGGTCTTGCAATAACATTCCACAGTTGACATTAATATACATCATGAGTTCTGGACTACGACCAAGGCGGCACTGCATAAGCTTGAAATCGCAAACTCATGAGAATTTGTCGACTGATCTCAACCAGTCCTGTCATCTGGCCTCATCATTTAACCTTTATCAGTAGATGTCATGGCAACCACCATTAAGCCAAAATATAAATCATGATATATCACATTGTTACACTGAAATCTTACAAATAAACTACAAACTTAATGAGAGGACTACTCCTTTTAAACCTTTGAATGAGAAATATGCAATCCAGGATTTACTATTCTTATAAACACTGAGTAATCTGGACAATATGGTAGATTTATCTCTATTTTATAAACACTGAGTAATCTGGACGATATGGTAGATTTATCTCTATTTATCTTATAAACACTGAGTAATCTGGACAATATGGTAGATTTATCTCTATCTTATAAACACTGAGTAATCTGGACAATATGGTAGATTTATCTATTTATCTTATAAACACTGAGTAATCTGGACAATATGGTAGATTTATCTCTATTTATCTTATAAACACTGAGTAATCTGGACAATATGGTAGATTTATCTCTATTTATCTTATAAACACTGAGTAATCTGGACAATATGGTAGATTTATCTCTATCTATAAACACTGAGTAATCTGGACAATATGGTAGATTTATCTCTATCTTATAAACACTGAGTAATCTGGACAATATGGTAGATTTATCTCTATTTATCTTATAAACACTGAGTAATCTGGACAATATGGTAGATTTATCTCTATTTATCTTATAAACACTGAGTAATCTGGACAATATGGTAGATTTATTTCTATTTATCTTATAAACACTGAGTAATCTGGACAATATGGTAGATTTATCTCTATTTATCTTATAAACACTGAGTAATCTGGACAATATGGTAGATTTATCTCTATTTATCTTATAAACACTGAGTAATCTGGACAATATGGTAGATTTATCTCTATTTATCTATGCTAAGGATCAGACAATTCTGGTCTAATTGTTATGAGCACATGGTTCATTTCAAATTTACTTTTATTTAGATTTTTAATTGAACAAAACCCTAAACAAAGCTGTGGCACATGTTTTGAAACGTGCTGTATTTAATAAATTAAAAAATTTGAACAGACCTGGAATTACAAGGCCCAAAATTGTGTACCGGGGTCTTGTTCTCAGTATTAAGGTCTCATGCCACTAATTAACCAATGGCTGCCCAGCAAGAACCAATGAAATTTTTTAAATATTATTTTTCTCAGGTGCTCCCTGTTTGAGGGCGTAATCACCTGGGTCAGAGGTGAGACCAACATGTGGTCTTTTGTTTACTACTTAGCGGCTGTGTACCTGTGGGTTTATTCTGTGTGTTAATGGATGTTCTAATCTTGGTGTTTTTCCAGTGATTTCTCTTGGTGCAATCCAAATACAGTAGGTGTGTCTTATTTACCTGAGATTTGCAAGAGTTTGAGCTGGCCAACATGTTAGTTTTTTTTCATATGGTTGATTACTGGCATGATGATTTCCCATTTTTGAGCCATATTTTCAACTTTCTTCGTCATTTTCATATAGCAATCTCGTCATATGTTAACATTGTCGTCTATGGAAATTCAATTAGTGGTATGAGCCCTTAATGAAATAGTTACACCGCCCTCAGTGTTCATAAACTATTACCTGAAATCATCAATAGAGGGCGCCACTTACAATTTGCCCAATAGAACTGTACTCAATTCTATCAGACCATGACTAAATTATAACATTGCCATTCTCAAACAACTTTATTGATGAGGGCGCTCTTCATTGAACGAAGTACATCCCCTTTTCAAACCTCTGAGCTATTGCCATTCTCAAACAACTTTATTGATGAGGGTGCTCTGCAATGAACAAAGTACATCCATTTTTCAAAATGGGGTGTGTAGCTGGTTGTTTGAAACCCCTAACCCCTTTTCAGACAAATAAACTCAAATTGCCTTCCCCTTTCCAGACAAGCTGTGGATATTTGACACCCCTTTCCAGACAGTAAGCATAAATGGTACTCGGGGGTGGGGGGGGGGAAAGCAGGTGAACTCTCGGAGATGGACTTTGACGATCGAAATGAAGTTACATGAAAGAAAAAATCGGCTTCATTCTCCTGATTGTTGGATACCTTAAGCTCTAGAGAGAGTCTTTGGAAAATATGAACCCCTTTTTAGGCAGGAATAATGAAAAAAGATACCCCTTTTCAGACAGACAGGGTAAAATAACATACTCCTTTTCAGAGAGAAATGGTGAATTTGGGACCCTTTTTGGCGGTACATATACATATAGCACTTCATTGTGAACCATTGAAGGAAGAAATCTTGGTATAAAAGGTAGCCTGTTTTTCCACTTTTTATGATTTCATATTTTATCAGGAAATTTTTCAAACACAATCATTTATTCATACACACTTGCACAAAAAACAAATGAATGCACCAAGTTCATGTTTTCTAGATATTTTATATATATATTATTAATAATGGAGTTGATGACATGATTATTATTTTTACGGTTCATATGCAGCATATCAAATTATTAATAATAACACTTGGCTAAATTAATAAACACTTAACAAATCATTCTGTAAACACTTTTGTAAGTTTTTGAATGACTAAAATAATAATAAAGTGATTGAAACAATCTTACACATTGCATAGATGGTATGTTGGTAAGTAATAAATACAATTATAAGTAAACGTGTATATTAAAATTGTATTATATTAAACGCAATATGATACTGGCAAAAAACATGGCTTTCATTGAAAATCTAAAAGCTATTGTTCTTTTCTACTGATACTTTTAGCAGTAGTGTACAAAATATAGTGGAGAAAAAAAAAGCTGTTTGTGTTTCTTTTCCTGAGTTGTGGCATAAAATTATACAGGGTTGTATGTAGTATTTTGCTTATGTACAGCTATACTAACAATATCACGCTATATACAGTACAGTTAACCAGCCATGTTTTCAACCAGATGACATTTTGCATTTTGAAATGAAGTTAAATACAATTAAGGGGAGCAGAGGAGGCTAACCCCTCCCCCAACACCACCGCACATAATATAATGGGAACTAAATATTTTATTATTTGTTAGCAACAGCAACATTCCATACCCTATGAATTTGAAATAACACAACGATTAGAGGAGGAAGTTCATGAGGATTCTCTTGCAAGCCGAACGGCCATTGTACGGTATTTACTGTTATAGCAATACTCTTCTTACATCAAAAAGGTCAAAACAGAAACTCTTTGATTTCTGTTACTTTTTGGAATTTAATTTTGATGATGTAACATCTTTTTTACCAGTTTGAATTAAAACACACAAACTTGTCCAGGGAGGAGGGGGTTACTAAATTTTGAATAGGATTGGGAGAGGTGGGTTAGTTGTGTAATTGCAAACGCAGCTGGGCAAGAACGTTGCTGTGTCTTTACTTCAAGAATCCATGGTTTGGAAAGAAAAAATGGTAGTCGCGTAATCGACATTGTCGTTTCAATAGCTACACTAAATGACATTGTTACTATAGCTGGCTTTTCTTTCAAATCCATGAGCTCTGGAAATAAGACAATTTGAATGAAACGGTTAGAATAAAATTGATGCAAGTACATCTCCAACACTTAATACACACCGCTGATTGTATTTGGGGGGTGAGAAAATCACCTGTTTTTGTTGCGGCACCCTCATTCAGTGTGTTGTAACTGAGAGGGCTACGTCTACACTCACAAATGAGGTAAACAAGAACTGACAGTTCTCACTGATGTTAAACAGTATATTGGAAAGCTATCTACATACATAGAAATCTTGTGCCACCAAACATTCAGTTGGTAGTTGGTAATAATATGCAGTACATCTCAAATGAGAGTTGTCGTGTCTGCTATTAAAGATGGTGGCAAAGGATGCAATATTTTAGTAGACTAGGGGTGTTATATACAAGACTAACTTAGGGGTACTATAAATTAGCTCAAAGGCACACAGAATGCCAAAGTCGTGATTCATACTAAAATGTACGATGTAACTGCAAATGGCCCTACCTTGTGTGGATTATGGTATGACCCACCAATGGACACTTGTTGCAGTTATACCGGTTACATTTTACATTCTCTATTCTGATTGGCTAGTTTACACTGATTTTTTCATTTGCTCAACCAATCAGCCTGTTATATATCACAGTTGTCAGAAAATCAAATTTTCAAAAAACAAAAAAAATAATCTGCAGCTTTGAAAGAATCAAATCAGCATGCAGGAAATGTCACTATAAGTTACACTGTATCGGCTTTGTTTAGTTGAGTATCGGCACCACGTAGTCCGGGCGAGAAAAAAAAGCGGCCTTTAACTTCAAGTGAAAAATCTGTTGCTTTTAAACATTCCAACTATCTTTGTCAGTTCGTTCGGTTTTTGAGTTTCTAAATTGATGAAAAAACCTTGTCAAAGTTCCTCGTACTTTCCTAGCGTGAAAACCACGTCAAAGTTTCTCAGACTTTCCTGGCGTGAAAACCATGTCAATATTCCACATACTTTATTAATGTTTGAAACATTTTGGAAAGTTTTTCTCAGCATGATTCTTCTTCGTTGTGCACTTCCTCCATTTTAAACCTTTTCGGCTCAGCACCATCAATAACGGACACCCCATTCTCCTTGTCGCTTCCTGTTGATAGCGTTCTTCTGACTCCACACGGTGATTTCGTTCCCAGTTCTTGTGCATTGTTGTTTTCGTTTGATGACTTTATCCATGGATGTTCCAAACAGTCTTTCATTTTATATCTTTTTCTGTAAATAAATAAATAAATAAATAAATAAATAAATAAATAAATAAATAAATAAATAAATAAATAAATAAATAAATAAATAAATAAATAAATAAATAAATAAATTAATAAATTAATAAATTAATAAATTAATTAATTAATTAATTAATTAATACAAACAGATAATTAATCTAATTATCAATAACTTATAAGAACATTTAAATACTCACGTCGGTTGTACAACAAGTAGCCTCTTGATAAAGTCAACTGCGAGGGGCGAGATGTCTTTCCAGAGATCGCTAGAGAAATCTGCTTTACATTGTGAGATGTTAAGAAACGTTTCCTGTTTGTCGTCGGCTGCAAATGGTGAAATGCCCGTCAACATGACATAGGTGAGTACTCCAATACTCCACATATCAGTGGCTAGGGTGATCGGTTCGTAACTTAGTATTTCAGGTGCTAAAAGAGAACACAATAAGTCATGCTCAGCGTCAATCTAATTACAACTATTGTAAAGCTAAAAATTGATCGGGAACTTATTGAATTCCAAGCAAAAACATGATCTACAAGCACAAACAGGGCTTGGATAAATTTATACTCTTTACAGAAATTGGATGTTTATTGTGATATAAAAGCATCAAAGTAAACTGGGAATTGCATTATCAACTTACCAACATAATCAAGGGTGCCTAAAATTTCCCGAATCTCTTCGTTGGCATTTACTAGCCTTGCAAGGCCAAAGTCTACAAGCTTCACGTCTCCAAACGCTGGTTGACTATGTGTTAGCAGAATATTTGAAGGCTACAAGAAAGAAAGAAACAAAATTTAATATTCACATAATTTATCTGACACAGCTGGCATGTTTAAAAACGGATGAACCATTAAAGCTACTTGTTTGTA